GTTTTAAGTCACAGGGTCCAGGACTCGAACCACGGACTCAGACTGTGGGCTCAAACTGCATGGGAGTTTAACAACATAACCATTATGCTATCTTTTGCCCTCCCCTTTTTAAAAAATATTTTTAAAAATTATTAATTTAATTTATTCATATTTATTTTTTAAAAATTTGACCAGAGAGAGAGGGAAAGTGAGAAAGCAAGCCACCAGGCCCAGGACTCGAACTGTGGTTGGCCAGTTGGACATGTGGAGGGGTCCAGTGCCTTAACCACCACACCACCTGCTGGGCCTGCCCTTCCCCCCCCTTTTTTAAGAGAGATTTTTACTATAGGGTGCATGTGCTTGCTGGAGAGACAGAGACAGAGAGACAGAAAGCAAGAAATCACCCCCTGGTGGGATGGCCATGCCATAAACCCTTATCCTGTATTCTCCTCTTGGGATACTGGGCATGCACACATGCACATCTGGCATGAGTTTTAAGCCACCAGGTCAAGGACTGAACTGTGGACTCAAACTGTGGTTGACTATATGGGAGTCCAGCAACATAACCATTATGCCATCTTTTTCTTAAGAGAGGTTTTTACTATAGGGCACATATGCTTGCTGAAGAGACAGAGTCAGAGAGATAGAAAGCAAGAAATCACCCCCCTGGGGGATGGCCACGCCACAATCGTTTATTCTTCTCTTGGGATTTTGGTTGCACACACACGTGCCCAGCATGAGGTTTAGGCTGCTGGGTCTGGGATTTGAACCATGGTTGACTATGTGGGAGTCCAGCAATGTAACCATTACACCATCTGCTGGTCCCCTGTTGTGTTTTTCAAGCTGTTGGGGTCAGGATTTGAACTGTGGTTAGCAGTGTAGAATCCAGCTCCCTAAACCACTAGAATATGGGACCGGTCTTAAATTTGTATATTAATTGCACTTTTTTATGAACATTTCTACATTCCCCTTGTATAGTAATAGTCTTCAATTTAGCATACAGTTTCTTTTTTAAGATTTAACATTTCTATTCATCAAAAAGTGAATTTACCAATTTAAAACAATTTCAAAATTTGGGTTTTTTTTTGGTGGGGGGCACCTAGATTGGACCACAGACTTCTGAAAGTCTCTAGTCTTTTTTCTTTATTTATTTAATTTTTCTTCTTATTATTTTTTAAAACATTTGATCACTATGCACCATTTGGCTTGTAAAGAGAATTTACCCAACATAAATACATCTCAGACCAGCCCAGCTAAGAATCCTATACACACCATCATCAGTAGGTAATAAAGCATTTCTGTGTCCCACGAATGTGTTGCCTCTCTAATTTTTCTACCTGATTTCCTTCCCTTTACTCTTCCCTTCTCTCACCTTCCTTCCACACTGTCTCCAGCATCCATAACTATTTTCACTGCTTGTGTGTCCTCCAATCTTTCAGTCTCTACCCTAGAATGCGGACAGTCGATATATATTAAATGGGGACATACAATATCTTTCTTTCACAGCCTGGCTTACTTCATTCAGCAATAAATCTTCCATATTCAACCACTTTCTTTTTTTTCTTTTTTTTTTTTTTTTCTTTTTTTTTTTTTGAAGAATTATTTTATTTAACTTTTTATTTATTATTAATATCATTATTATTTTTCAGTTTGATCAGAGAGAGACAGAGAGAGAGAGAGAGGAAGTGAGAAAGCAAGCCAGGTCCGAGACTTGAACCATGTTCGGCCATGTGGGAGTCCAGCGCCCTTAACCACTATACCACTTGCCGGCCCCTCAACCACTTTCTATCAAATATCAGGGTCTTGTTTTTTGTGGCTGAATAGTATTCCGTAAAGTATATATGCCACACTTTTTAAATTCATTCATCTGCTTGTGGACATAAAAGCATTTTAATTTTTTTATTTAAAAATTTTAAAATTTTTTAAATGTCCTGTGGGGCACGTGTACTTACTGGAGAGAGACAGAGAAAGTGAGAAAGCACTCCCCCAAGGGGGATGGCCGCACCTCAATCCCTTCTCCTCTATCTCTTCTTGGGATTTTAGGCACATGTACAGATATGCCTGGCGTGTTTTTTAGGCCACTGGGTTCGAGACTCAAATTGTGCAGTCAGCCCTATGAATTCAGCCAACTTAACCACCACACCGTGGGCTAGCCCCAGCCAATATTTTAATCCTTGGTTAGCCACGTAAACACTGATGTATTAGTACCACTATCAAAATGTGTATTCAGCTATAAACAGTATCTCTTTTAGTCATATACGGAGCATGATTGATTTAAAAAGCACCATGTGTAAAGTAAAGGTGAAGTGTGAAGATTTAGCATATGGCGTTATGAGGTTTGATAAATGAACACATTTCTGACCACTGCCACGGTGAAGAGACCTCCATCAACCACAGATACTCTCTTGCTCCTTTGTAGTCACGCCCTAGAAACACTGGTCTGCTTTCTGACCCTCTATTTTAACCTTTCCTCATTTGAGTTGCATTTTCCTGTCTGATAGTGATGTTAAATATCTTTTTAATGTACTCATTGACTATTATACCATCTTCTTTTATAAATGGTCTATTCAAATCTTTTGCCAGTTTAAAAAAAAATATTTTTTTTTCTAGAGAGAGATTTTTGCTATAGGGTACATGCGCTTGCCAGAGAGACAGAGACAGAAAGTGAGAAATCACCCCCCAGAGGAGATGGCCACATCGCAATCCCTTCTCCTCCATTTTCCCCTCGGGATTCTGGGCACACACAGCATGAGTTTCAAGCCACAGGGTCTGGGACTGAAACCATGTTCGGCCATGTGCGAGTCCAGTGACGTAACCACTATGCCACCTGCTAGCACCATGGGAAAAAATATTAAAAAATACGAGAACTCATGTATTCTCCACTTGATTATTATATGGAAAGTTTTAATGTTTAAAAAAATTTTTTTATGAGAGATTTTTGATATAAGGTGCATGTGCTCACCAGAGAGACAGAGAAAAATGAAGAGATAGAAAGTGAGAAATCAATCCTCAGAGGTGACAAAAAGCAAGAAATCACTCCCCTGGGGTTACGGTTATACCACAATCCCTTCTCCTCCATTCTCTTCTCAAGATTTTGGGCAGGCATATACATGCATCTGGCTTGAGTTTCGAGCTACTGGTTCTGGGTCTTGAACAATGGTTGACTATATGAGAGTCTAGTGACATGATATTACCATTACGTCATCTGCTGGTCCCCCCCCCCCTTTTTAATTTTTAAATTTTTTTTTTTGGAGAGATTTTTGCTATAGGGCATGTGTACTCACCAGAGAGACAAAGACAGAAAGTGAGAAATCACCCCCCGGGGGTATGGACATGCTGCAATCCCTTCTCTATTTTCCTCTTGGGATCTTGGGCAAGCACGCACGCACACAGGCCCAGCGTGAGTGTAAGCCATTGGGTCTGGGACTCAAACCATGGCCAACTACATGGGACCAGCAAGATGGCGTAATGGTTTTATTGCTGGACTCCCACATGGCCGACCGTAGTTCAAATCTCAGAGCAGAGGCTTGAAACTCAAACCGGGTACGTTTGAGTGTGTCCCCAAAATACTTAGAGGAGAATGGAGGAGAAGGGATTGCGACTTTGGCCATTCCCCTTGGGGGGTTATTTCTCACTTTCTGTCTTTGTCTCTCTGGTGAGTACACATGCCCTATAGCAAAAATCTGTCAAAAGAATAAAACAGTTTCTTTTTAAAGAGGTTTTTGCCTTAGGGTACGTGTGCTCACCAGAGAGAGAGAAAGAGAGACAGAGAGAGAGAGGGAAGTGAGAAATCACCCCCGGGGGAATGGCCATGCTTCAGTCCCTTCTCCTCCATTCTCCTCCCAGGATCTTGGGTACACGTGCACACGAGCCCAGTGTGCTATCGGGTCTAGGACTCTAACCATGGTCAGCCATGTGAGAGTCCAGTGATGTAACTCCTACACCATTTGCTGGCCCCTAGAACAATTTTTTAAAAATGATTTAATTCCATGTTATTATTTTGAGAGATTTTTGCTATAGGGAGCATGTACTCATTGGAGAGACGGAGAAATAGAAGAGAGACAGAAAGTGATAAATCAGCCCCCCTCTGGTGGGAGGAGGTTGCCATGTTGCAATCCATTCTCCTGCATTCTACTCTTAGGCTTTGGGGCATGCTCACTAATGCACCCAGCGTGAGTTTCAAGCCTCTGGGTCTGGCACTCGAACCGTGGCTGGCCATGCGAGAGTCTGGCAACATAACCATTGCACCATCTGCTGGTCCCTGTTGTTATTATTTTTAATTTGACCAGAGAGACAGAGAGTGAGAAAGGGAAAGTGAGAAAGCAAGCTGCCAGATCAGGACTCAAACCACTGTCAGCCATGTGGGAGTCCAGTGCCTTGACCACCACACCACCTGCGGGCCCCAGTGTTGAAACATTTTTCAGTTCTGGCTGGTACAAGTCTTTTGAGATGCACGTATTGTAGACATTTCTCCATTCTATTGCTTGCCTTTTTATTTTCTTACTTATGTCTTTCAACGAGCACACGTTAAACTTTTTTTAAATTAAGTTTAGGTTTCTTTCATGGTTTTTGGTTTTTGTACCTTATGTGCAGAATCATTGTTTAACCTGGTATTACAAAGATTTTTCTGTCTGTTTCCTCCAAGGTTTATAGTTGCCACTTTTACATTTCCGTCTATGATCGTTTTAGTGTGTGTTTGGGTGCATGAGGGTTGATGTAGTGTTTCCACATACGGGTGTCCCGTTGTTCCAGCACTATTTGTCGAACTGGCTTTCTTTTCCCTGTTGAATTGCCTGGTGTAAAGAGGCATCGTTTTTGGGAACTTGCTTTATTTAAAATGGAAGTTAGTCTTTTGGTATGTAAGACCCATTCAAAGTAGTAGGAATCCACCTCTGAGCAGTGTGATCCTGGATCCCATTGTGATCCCAAACTTTGCATAAAGGCTTTAGGGGCAGATGGCTTTGATTTCTTCATCTGGATTTCTTGAATAGAAATATTTCTGTTTCTTCTACACTTGTTAGAAGCTGGCAAAGGTTCCTGCCAACGGGCTCAGTGTGAATGTGACCAACCAGGATGGCCTCTCCCCACTGCACGTTGCTGCCCTGCATGGCCGGGCGGACCTCGTCCCTCTCCTGTTGAAGCACGGTGCCCGAGTGGGTGCCAGAGATGCAAACCGAGCTGTCCCCCTCCACCTGGCCTGCCAGAAGGGCCACTTTCAGGTATGGGCTCTGTGTTTCTGGCAGTGTAGCAGGTGCTTGCCTTGGCTAGAACCTCGCTTGGTGGGAATGCTGCAGAAGGGCAGGGGACAGCCACGTTTCCTCCCTCTAAGCACTGAGATTCCGAGATGCATGTGGCAGAACCACTCAGTCTTGAGCATAGGACTCCGTGCTTCCTGGGGTGGAGCCAGCCCTCCTGCCCCCACCGCCATTCACTCTGGGTGGCTGTCATCTGATCTGACCCCAGCAGGAACTCTTCTGAACTTGGGTGTGTTGGTCATTGAGGGTCCACCGTGGTCACCTTACCATTTGATGTGCCCATAGTCCTTGGCCTGTTAGTGCCTTATAAAGTGCAGTCATGGCCTTATAGAACGAGTTCAAGAGAGGATTGTGGTGTGATTATTATTAATTTTTTTTTAAAGTTTTTGTTATAGAGTGTGTGCACTTGCCAGAGAGACAGAGAGAGCAAGAAAATGAGAACTCATCATTGTGGCCATGCCACAATCCCTTCTCCTCCATTCTCCTCTCAGGACTTTGGGCATGCGTGCACACAGGCCCAGCATGAGTATCAAGCCACCAGGTGTAGGATTCAGACTACATTTTTGGTCATGTGGGATCCAGCCTCCCCACCTCCATCTGCTGGCCCTTGAATGATTAAATTTTAGAAGTCTTATTTACCTTCTAGTAACTTAGCTATATCTGTTATTTGTCATTGTCCCCCATGAGTTTCTGAGTAAGCTTTTTAAAGACAGGGGTCGTATTTCAGGTCTGCCAACGCCCTCGTCAACACCTAGCACAGTGCTTGAATCATTGGTTTCCTAATCTGTAACACTGGAACAGTTCCAGCTCTCCAGAGGGTAGATAGAAAGGTGAAGTGAAAATTCCAATGCCTAGCACACTGCCTGGCACAAGAGACCCTCTGCAAATGCCAGTCCCCCCTCCAGTGGATCTGCTTTCTCCTGAGGGCCAGCCATGTCTGAAGACCTTCCCAGTAAGCTTAGAGAAAAGTCAGAAGCCTTGATACTGGGTTTAAGAGTTTCTCTTACACATTTTAGTTAAGATTGACATTTTCCTTTTCAACTAGGTGGTGAAGTATTTATTAGATTCTAATGCAAAACCCAATAAAAAGGATATAAGTGGAAACACACCCCTCATTTACGCCGGATCCGGTGGCCATCATGAAGTTGCGGCACTGTTGCTACAGGTAGGGCCCCTCACCACCCACCGGCGGTCACCCCTGCACTGGCCAGTAGGGGCACTATTGTTTGGCTAAGCTACTGTGGCATCTGACTAAGGCAGGAGGAGGGTGGGCCTCTCCCTCTGATCAAAGGCAACTCATTTTGATGGACTTGTAAAAAAAAAAATGGGTATAGTTTAGACAATATTGTTTTTTATCTTAACGTTTTTCACTTAATGTAGAAAACTGTTTATTAAAACCTTGTATTGGGTCAACAGGTGGCATGGTGGTTAAGGTGCTGGACTCTTATATGGCTGACCATGGTTCAAGTCCTGGACCTGGTGGCTTGAAAATTAGGCTGGGTACATGTGCATGTATGCCCAAAATCCCAGGAAGGGAAAAGAGGCCAAGGGATTGCTATGTGGCCATTCCCCCCAGGGGGGATGTTTTCTCACTTTCCTTCTCACTGTCTGTCTCTGGTGAGTGCATGTACCCTATGGCAAAAACCTTAAGAAAAGAAAACAAAACAAAACAAAAAAACTTGTTTTGTTTTGTTTTTAGTTTTGCTATAGGGCATGTATGCTCACCAGACAGAGAGAGAGAGAGAGAGGGAAAGTGAGAAATAAAGTCACCCCCCAGGGGGTATGGCCATACCAGTCCCTTCTCTTCTGTTCTTTTGGGATTTGGGGGCATGCATGCACATGTGCCCAGTGTGATTTTCAAGTTGCCAGGTTTGGGACTCAGCTGTGCAGTCAGTCCAGCTGCCTTAACCTCCACACCTCCTGTTGCCCCTAAATACTTGTTTTTTAATGGTTGTGTAACTATTGAGGTACCATAGAGTGTTTTTGTTTGTTTTTCCAGATGATCCTGCTCAGTACATTTAAGTAGCTTCTGTTTGTTTTTTTCCTGCTATAATGATATGTGCTGTAATGAACATCTTTGTTCATAATTTTTTTTAAGAGATTTTTTGCTATAGGGAATATGGACTCATCAGAGAGACAAGAGAGATATAGAGTGAGAAATCCCTCCACAGGAGGCCTGGCCACGCCGCAATCCCTTCTCCTCTATTTTCCTCTTGGGATTTTGGGCATGCATGCACACGTGCCCGGCCTGAGTTTCAAGTCACCAGGTCCAGGACTCAAACCGCAGTGGGAGTCCATAACGTAATCATTACACCATTTGCTGGTCCCTGTTCATAAATCTCAGTATTACTTTTATCCCCGGCATTTAAAGATTTTTGTGAGACAGGAGAGTTCGGGGAATTTGATGACAAGCAGCACCCACGTGCCTGCCGCCTGGATTCCCCGTTCGGTTCTCTCGCATTCCTTTTGATTGTGCTGTGTCTCGTTCTAGCACGGGGCCTCCATTAATGCTTCTAACAACAAGGGCAACACGGCGCTGCACGAGGCCGTGATAGAAAAGCACGTCTTCGTGGTGGAGCTGCTGCTGCTGCACGGGGCTTCGGTCCACGTCTTAAACAAGAGGCAGTGCACAGCCATAGATTGTGCCGAGCAGGTGAGTGGAGACCCCAAGGGCCGAGAAGCCTCAGGCCTCCTGCACAGCTCACGCTGGAGTCCATGCTCTTAAACAGATGTACTGAGCAAGAGGCAGATTTCTGAAGCACTGCGCTGGCTAGTTGCTGTGCCAGGAGTCGGCCATTGTGGCTAGATACCTGGTCACCTGGTCAGAGGTGGCCTGTGGGGAGCCAGGGGCCATGCTTTCAGGGTAGTTTCAAAGGCCCGAGTGCAGGTGCTCCCCTTACCACCATCCCCTATCACCCGTAGTAACATGCCGTCCAGTACCTGAGGGGAAGACATGGCTCTGGTGTCGGAGCTCTGCAATTGCCTTAGCAGCGTGATGGAGGAAGTTTGTTTAGTTTGTGGACATACAGGTCCTTGGAAACGGGAGGAGAGCTGTGACTATCAACTGACCACACTCTACGGTGCTGTGGTTTCCAGTCACCTTAACCACCACACCATGGCCGGCCCATTATTTTTTATTTTTTTAGTGACATTTCCTAACAGAACTGAGCTATCTTTTTCTATTTGTTGCTCTAGGGTACATGCACTTGCTGGAGACACAGGGGTGGATGGAGAGTGAGAAATCACCCCCCAGGGGGAAGGTCATGCTGCAGTCCATTCCATTCCCCCCCTGGGGTTTTGGGCATGCACATACTTGTGCCCATTGTGTTTTTCAAGCCACCAGGTCTGGGACTCAAACCACGCAGTCAGCCAGGCGGATCCAGCACCTTAACTACCACTCCACTAGCTGGCCCCAGAATTAAATTATCTTAACCTTTTTAGTACTTTCTCAAATGATGATGACGAAGAAGTGCTTTATTGCATATTTACTACGTGGTGGGCCCTCAGAGATCTCATGATATGAACCATACAATAATAGGTCTTGTTATTGGCAGCCCAGTTGCCCGGTGTGGCTAAACACCCAGCCCCGAGTACCTAGGAGAGGGCAGAACCAGAGACCAAAGGCTGGGCTTCTTTCACAAGAATTTATGGACTCCTAGTTTGGTCCTTAGTTATTTCTCAGCTTTTCCTGCCCAGAACACTGATAGTTAGATAGAAAGCAAGTAATTATATGTAAGGAGAATTTTAAAATATCACCGTTACTTTTTCCCTTTCAAATTGTAGAATTCAAAAATAATGGAATTACTTCAGGTAGTACCCAGCTGCGTGGCCTCGTTAGAGGATGTTGCTGAAGCAGACCACAAGGACTACGTTACTGTGAAGATCAGGAAAAAATGTAAGAACTTACATTCCATTGTTGTCAACCTGGGTGTATTTGGAAACTCATGGGTAGCTGCTGGGTTGCATGGCAAACGTAAAACATAATTACCATATGATGGGGGGTGGGTACAGGCACCAAAGAAGTGTGCGCTACATCCTGATTTATCAGACGAGGGGTAAGCTGCTTTGGATGCTAGTTTTTCTGGTCAATGATAGTATTTCTTAAAAGAATGAGATGGAAACGCTCAGCGTTACATTGGAGGTGCAGGCCTTGCCTAACTGACTGGAGAGGAGATACAATTTCTGCCAATTTCATGCTTTATGTTCCAAAGCTAGGTGTTCTTCTGAGCGTTCCTGGATAACCAGGGTAAATGTTACTTTTTAAAATATTTTTTTTAGTTTCCAGGTGTAAGAGAGGTTGATGATAGTTAGAACAGCAATTACCAAACGGTAGATCTGAAGTATTTTCTTTTAAAAGTTTAGGGGATCGTCTATATTTTTCTTTATAATATACTAAATTGATCACTAAATGATAAATTACATTATAAGATCATTTATATAACTAAATGATATTATAATAATATGCTATATGTATACTAAATGATATTATGTAATATACTCCCAGCTATGGGAGTGGGTTTATGCCGTGAATATAAATATGATGTGAATGAACCCACTCCCAAATCCGGATTAAGATATACGAGGCTGTCTCGCCATAGTTGGCTGTGAGCTGGGACATATCAGTGTGGTAAGGGTATGTCTTGCTATTTCACGTGGCTTTACACAGTAATAAATAGGTAGCTTTTCACATGCCCCTTTAAAAGCAAAACCAGTGTTGGGACCAGCAGTGAGTGTAATGGCTATGTCGCTGGACTCCCACAGTCGACCGTGGTTCAAGTCCTGGACCCGGTGGCTTAAAACTCACGCCGGGCGCATGTGCATGCGTGCCCAAGATCCCGAGAGGAGAATGGAGGAGAAGGGATTGCGGTGTGACCTTCCCCCCTGGGGGGTGATTTCTTGCTTTCTGTCTGTCTCTTAGCAAAAACTTCTCCAAAAAAAGCAAAACCAGTGTTTAATTTTCTAAATTTTGTTAACCTAAGAGAATGGGGAGACTGCATCTATGCTGTTGTTTTAGAACCACCTTTAAACTGTTTTTGAAGTTTCAGATGTTTATTCTTTTATCTACAGGGAACTCAAAAATGTTTGATCTCCCAGATGAGCCTTTTACAAGACAGTTTTACTTTGTTCACTCTGTTGGTCAGTTTAAGTGAGTACCAAGTTCAAGTGGATTTTTTGTGCTTTTGACCGAGTTTCTTTCAAATGAAGCATGATTTGTGCAGTCTCAATTGGTTATGCGTAGTACCGTCTGCAGTGAGAACGTCATCTAATCCTGCCACCTTGTGGCCAACCAGTGTTTTGCACCAGTATCCCAAATAGCGATTTTAGGTTCATATTTAAGTTTATTTTGGATTTCAGGGGAAAGACTTCACGGGAGATTATAGCAAGAGATAGAAGTGTACCTAATCTGACTGAAAGTTCTTTGGATGAGGTGAGTTCTTCAATATGTTTACTTATGTTATTATTACTATTTTGGTAGGAAAAGTGTGTTTTTTAAAATTTGCTAGCGGGCATGTGCACTCACTGGAGAGACAGGAAGAAAGAGAAAGTGAGAAATCATTGCCCAGGGAAGATGGCAATGCTGCAGTCCTTCCTCGGTTCTCCTGTTGGGATTTTGGGCATGCACACACAGGCATCTAGCATGCTTTTTAAGCCACCATGTCTGGGACTTGAACCACTCAGTCAGCATGTGGGATCTAGCCACCTTCACCACCACTTGCTGGCCTAGCAAGTGTATTCTTTTTTTTTTTTTGGAGAAGTTTTTGCTATAGGGTGCGTGCGCTCGCCAGACAGACAGAGAGAGACAGAGAGACAGAAAGCGAGAAATCACCCCCCATGGGGGATGGCCACGTCGCAATCCCTTCTCCTCCATTCTCCTCTCGGGATCTTGGGCATGCACGCACACGCACCCGGCGTGAGTTTTAAGCCGCTGGGTCTGGAACACGAACCGCGGTCGACTACATGGGAGTCCAGCGACATAGCCATTACACTAACTGCTGGTCCCAGCATGTGTATTAAGAGCCTGCCTTTCTCTGAAATAACCCATGGTACTCAGATTTCACTTGAGTGTGACCTTCATTATTTTCTTCAGTCTAACAGGTACCAACAATTAAAATTGGAATTTCTTAGTGGGATGGTCAAAAGTACAGACTTCACTGATTATTATATTTAAAAATACATTTCTGGTGCTAGCAGATGACATAATGGTTATGTCGCTGGACTCCCACATGGCTATGATTTAGGTCCTGGACCCAATGGCTTGAAAATCATGCCGGGTCTGAGTGTGCATGTATGCCTATGATCCCAGGAGAATGGAGAAGGGACTGTGGTATGGCCATGCTCCCAGGATATGATTTATCACTTTCCTTCTCACTGTCTCTGTCTCTCTCCAGTGAATGCATGTACCCTAAAAACCTCTTAAAATTTTTTTTAAATGTCTTTAAACAAAAAAAAAGAATTATTTATTTTTATTTGTTAATATTATTTTTTAAAAACTTGACCAGGGAGAGACAGAGAGAAAGGGAAAGTGAGCAAGCAAGCTGACAGGTGTAGGACTTGAACCATAGCCATGTGGGAGTCTAGAACCTCAACCACCATGCCACTTGCTGGCCCCCAAAAGCATTTCTGAGTTGGGAAAGGAAAGTAAGGGAAAAGTGGAAAGTAGTTGTATGCATAGCAGGTGAAACTTCCCTATTGTGTTCATCACTGAAGGAAGAAAACAAGTTTGTATATAGCTGGGTAAGCAGCATTTCCAAATAGGGTATAGAACTCATATAGGCAGTTTTTTGTTGTTGTTGTTGTTTTATTTTCTAGGAGATTTTTTGCTATAGGGTGCGTGCACTTGCAGGAGAGACAGAGACAGAAAATGAGAAATCACCCCCAGGATTCTCCTCTTGGGATCTTGAGCACGCATGGACACATGCCCAGCGTGAGTTTTAAGCCACCGGGTCTGGGACGCGAAGCACAGCCGACTACCATGGGAATCCAGGGCCGAAACCATTACACCATCTGCTGGTCCCATAGACAGTTCTTTATGTGGCCCTCTTTCCTACTGCACTATTGAATCACTCAATTAGAAAAGAAGTCTGAGTTCCATCAATGGCACTATAAAGCAACTCTTAGAAACACAGCTTTCCTCATTGCCGATGAGAATTTATAGGATATGGGGCACAAGCTTGTTGAAACAAATACATAAAACTTCTCAATTGTTGTTTTAGGGAATTAAAGTTATTTTTATTAATGCAACTCATTTTGATTTCATATCTAATTTTCCATAACTTTGTGAATAGACCTACTTAAGAAATCCAGACTTTTTTTTTTTTTTGGGGGGGGAGGTTTTTGCTATAGGGCACGTGTGCTTGCCAGAAAGACAGAGAGACAGAAAGCAAGAAATCACCCCCCAGGGGGGATGGCCACACCATAATCCCTTCTTCATTCTCCTCTCGGGATCTTGGGCATGCACACACATGAGCCTAGCGTGAGTTTAAGCCACTGGGTCCAGGACTCAAACCCCAGTTGAACTACATGGGAGTCCAGCAACATAGCCATTATACCAACTGTTGGTCCTCAGACTTTTTTTTTTAGAGGAATTACTAATTTTACTTATTATTTTTTAATTTAATCAGAGACAGAGAGAGGGAAAGTGAGAAAGCAAGCCTCCAGGTCTAGGACCTAAACTGTGGTTGGCCATGTGGGGAGTCCAGCACCCCAATCACCATGCCACCTACTGACCCCAAAATCCAGACTTTAAATCTGCCTGAGTTCAACCAGGTGCTGCTATGGGGCATCAGGCAGCTGGCTTCACTTTGCTGATCCTGTTTCCTCAGCTGTAAAATGTCCTAGCAACAGTACAGACTTAAGACTTGTAAGGTTAGGAATATAAAAATGTGTAAAGCGTTTGCTGTGCATCTGACACAGGTAGTACACACATGCCATAGTCTCCCACGGGTGTCAGAACTGAAATGATGTCTGTGAAGTGCAGGGCGCGTTTTCTGACACGCTCAGTGCTCAAGGGCAGCTGTAGTTGTAGTGGTAGTTTTAAGTTCAGTGCAGATGTCAACTGTTTGAACTGTGCCTTTTCTTCAGACAGGAAAGCCAAGAGTTGCCCTGGCACAGAACCAGCCGGACCAGAGCAGATCTCAGATTGCTGGCACAGGAAACAAGGACCGGCCTGAGAGGCCTGGGCTGAAACAAACTGCTCCTGGGAACAGGCAGATGCTCCGCAGACACACAGTCAATGATGCTGTCGCATCCAAGCGCCCAGAGACTGCAGCCAACCTACCCACACCCCAGGAGGCTAGTATTTCCCAGTCTTAACAGGAATAAGGAATTGTTGAATCGAGTGCCAGGAAGTGAATACGAAAGATGCTGAGCATGAATACAGCTTAGAACTAAATGTACTTTCACATAACTGGCTTGAGAGACCAAGTCTTCAGAAGAAAATTCTGGAAGCTTTTCTGTGGCCGGGGGAAAGA